CCCCGCCGCGCGCGCCTTTCCCCATATCTCAAGTAGCGGTCTTCTGTAAGCGACAGGGTGGTGGAGGGACCTGTTTTCCTCGTGTCTGTCACTATTATCTCCCGCTCCGTCATCTATATCGGCCTCGGTTTCGGCGAATGTTCTCGCTCGCCAGTCACTCATGCATGTCGGAAAGATACCCGCTCGCGCGTCTGTGTCACCCGTGTCGTGTCCCCCAGTAGGCAGCTCAGCACACCAGGAGGGTGGGTGTTCGCCGCCCTGGCCTCGGCCCCGCGGTTCACAGCCCTTCACCCGCAGCCTCGGCCCGGCCTTGGCTCGGCCTCGCAGTGACCCGACCACCTCCCTCGAGACAGATAGGAATCGCATTACCGGCCCCACCGTCATTCGCGGCCCATCAATCTGCCCGCTCAGCCAATAGGAAGAGGGCCGCGGGTTACTTCCGGGCCCCGCCGAGTGCGACGCCCATAATAAATATGCTCCTCCTCATTGTCCTCTGTGCGGGGCGGGGCGGGGCGGGGCGGGGCACTGTTCTCCTGTTCTCCTGTTCTCGCGACGACGTCTCTGTCGAGGAGTATGGACCCGAACGGGAAAGCCTATCTTGCCGCAGAAGGAGACGCCTTTGCGTGAGCGAGATTCTGAAATTCGTTGTGTTTAATATCCCAAGCAGGAAGAGTTGAGGGGGTAGCGGCAGTGGTAGTGGTGGTGGCGGTAGTACTAGTAGGAAGAGAGCGAGTCGGCAGCCGAGTTTTTTTTATGACGACCGTCAAAAAGCGGCGGTATGTCGGTCGGCGGAGGGAATTCACTTTCGCTGAAAACCTACCCTCTCCTCGCCCTGTATCTCTGTATATATGTACTGTACATGGCGTCGCCCCTGCAGCGCAGGCTCCGTACTCACCCGCCTGTTTGTGTCGCACAGGGTCCGGCACCGGAGCGCACGCCCTGGTCAACAAGCAGCTGGCTCTGCCCTTCATCCCGCCCAAGTTCCCGTCGAACTCGGCCGACTCCAACCACCTCATCAAGCCGAGCGAGTACCTGCGCTCCATCAGCGGTCCCGGCGCACCCGCGCCGCCCGTCCCGGCCGCCGCCCCCGCCGCGCCGCCGCCGCCAGCCGCCCCCG